CCCCCCCCCCCCCCCCCCAATTATCCCGAAGGCACATGCAATAGCCCGGTATTGTTGCTACTGATGGCCCACAAGAACGGTTTAGTGTAGCCGAAGTTGCCGCCCCGCACCACTCCCCACAGAACCTGTAATTAGCTGACTGCAGAGCTGCCAAGAACAGATCCTTGGACCGCCGTGATTCGGAAAAGAGTTGACAGACCCCTACCTATAGTCTCCATTGTANNAGTTCCTTTTTTTGGTTTAGCCAAATATATATTAGGGATTTTATAAGGTATCCCCCAAAAGGAACTACAATGGAGACTACAGGTATAGTGCAACTCTGAATCTTGAAGCTCAGTCCCTGTCCGCAATCCTATGCGCGCAACCTAAAGCCATGTAAACCGCTACGAAACGTAATGCACTCTTAGCCGGGTTTAGGGTTTAGGGTTTAGGGTACTCTTAGCCCCATATGGCGGCCAGGCAGAGCTGGCGCACATCCAGTGGAAATTGGCTCGAGCCTTACTTAACATGGCTTTGTTGTAATGCATGCCGACATAGTGGATATTTTACGTATGGGCACCCAGACATGTGTTGCTCAGTTGTGTTTGTCTGATTGCTGCATATCTGCAAGTCTGCGAGTCTACTTAGCTACTCGTCTGCTTGAATCCGGCGCGGTCTTTCTCCCCGAAATAGATACCAGCCCGCGATTATTGCCATCCGTTTCCCAAGTTCCCTGTGGACCCCCCTTTTTCAGACTCCAGGAAATTATCCCAACGGAAGCCCTAAACCGCTATGACCAACTCAAGCCTTGGGATAGAAGTAATGTAGGGGCCTTAATAATTAGAATAGCGTTTTGGGGGATATATTCTACTATGTAGGTCTAATCAGGAACCCCCCCCCAGAATAGTATCGGTAATTGCTTAGGCTCCTATAGTAGGCTGTATACTCAGGACTTTCTAATCTAAGTCCCATGATCTAGTAGCATCAGGGCTTTCCCTAAACCCTAAAAGCGCCAAACCCTAAACCCTAAACCCTGAATGCTTTGATCGGGATTTGAGGCCTTCAGAAGTCGCTCAAGCTCAAAAACCCGGCAAAGCACTTGGCAACCGAAGCATCAGAGCTTAGGATTTTGGGCTCGGCTAAGGGTTTCGGGTTTAGTATTTGTAGGGTTTTGGGTCGAGGGCTTCGGATTTTGGTCTTGGGGCTTATGGGCCTTGGAGTTTAGGATTTAGGGATGTTTAGGGTTTGGGGTGTGTGCCCCAGGTGCGGGACCAGTCGTCAGCGCTGGCCAAAGAGCTGGCAATCGTCCAGACGCAGCTGAAGGACAGCTACCCCAAACCTCCTGAACCGCTTGCGGGTATGTTATGTCTCTGTCTGCTTCTCTGTCCGTTCGTCGGTTTGTCTGTCCGTCTGTCTGTCTGTCTGTCTGTCTGTCTGTATGTACGTATGTATGGATGTATGGATGTATGTGTGTACGTATGTATATGTTGCATGCATGTAATTCCCGTGCACAGTTGAACAGCCAATATCAAGATCCCTCTCGTAACTCTCATTAGTGGAGGTGGTCTAAATTTCGGGGGTAGAAACTGAAGCCTAAACGACCTACCTACATGCTACGCTCTGCACCGAACCCAAAGCCCTGAGCCCACAAACCAAAGTCCACGACTCTCTTGCAGAACTCTCTTGCAGATTTCCTTCGCAGGATCTGAAAGTCGAATCGCGGCGTGCGCTGGTGGAGTGCGAGCGCGCCTTCCGTGAGAATGTCCGGGGCCCCGGCTGGTGTTTCCGAGAACTCGAAAACGGCTTACCACGCAAAACCGTCTTAAATCACATCAAGGACCCCTTCTCAAGCTATGTTCCCTAACTTTAGTGCTAGAGTCCCTATCTTTAGCGCTATATTCTGTATTCCTTATACTTTTAAAGGATGTTGATTTCCTGGGTTTGGCAGCCCTGAGGTCTCGTGATGGCTTGTTGCCTTCAAAGGACGCTTAGAGGCTTAGAGTGTTGGTGGCGACTGCGGAGCGCCTCGAAGTAAGGTAAATCCCCAAGGGTCCATGTACCCAAATAGTCTATACTTTAACCACAAAGTACCTATATAGGGACTATAGTTTAAGGCCAGGGTATGTACTATTTGGGCACATGGACCCTTAGAGAATTAGCGTTGAAACAAAGAGGTCCGTTTGCAGTGCATGTAGAACGCCTTTCCTTCCTGCTCTGGATAAGTGCACGGATCTGAGTTGCTTTGGACCCTAAACCCTACTTAAAGGATCATGGAACTTAATAACTGAGGTTATAAACAAGGTAACTGTACTTATAACCCCAATTAGGGTACTTATAAGCCTACTTACTAAGTTCCAAGATCCTCCAAGTACATGCTAAGCCTCAGAAGCCTCATGTGCAGCTTAGATCTTCAAACTAAAGAGGTGATAATACCAAGGTAAGCAGACTTTATAGAAGGAAATAACATCTACAAAACGTTGAGGGCAGGTAGCCCCACCTGGTTGCGCATCCCTTTCCTTGACACCTCGTGCTTTTTCTATGACTACGTGATTCTTTGTCTTGTGGTCTTTAGACTATGCTGCCTGTGCCAGGTGATCAGTTTAGGGTAACCCTATGCTCTCAAGCCGTATCGGCCCTCTGTGTTCAGTGAATATCCTGAGTAGGGCTGGCTGGAGACTGTAAATATCCGCAAATGATATCCCAAATGCCCCTTGGCGAGAACATGCTGACCCTCGATAATGCGCCCTTCATGACGATCCTAAAATGCCTTCACCGGAGAGGTTTCAAACCCCTTTCAGCGCATATTTTGAATCAGGAGGCGAAGCTCAACGAGGCCCAGAGCCTGCTTCCACTTTGATGTTGGCGGTTTCAGGGGACGCGGCTTCCTCCACAAACGGTGTCCTAAACCCTAAACCCTAAACCGAATTACGTTTCTGATGTCGGCGAAGCACTTCAAATCACTTAGCTTCATGTTAGGGCTTTCGTTCTGGGGGGAATATACCTTAAATACGTTCCTAGAAGATCCAGGTACCCAAACTGTAGGGTTTTTAGATCCCAAATTCCAGACTCTGAATATTTTGGTACCCAGGGGAGTCCTGGTTCAGGCTTTGGAGTGGAGTTTAGGGCTTGGGGTTTGGGGTTCAGGGTCTACTTTGGGTTCTGTTTCCTGGCATTTTGTGCTTGTTTGGAATATAGACCTACTTCTTGTCTTGTATCGCTAGGAGCGAAAGGAGAAGAGCTTTAGTTGCAAGTTCCCTGTGTCTATCGAGCTTAAGGCAGTGCATGTGTCAGGATTTCGGGCATAGGCTTTAGGGTTTAGGGTTTAGGGGCTTCCGTCTTGCGCAGAATCGCTTTTATAATATCACACTGTACCCTAATGTCGGCGTAGGGTTATTTCGGGGTAATTAATTACCCAGAGAGCCCAATACCCCTTAAATAAGGAATATAGCTTACATCATAATACGAAGCCCCTTGTAATTTAAGCCATATTCCTTATTTAAGGGGTATTGGGCGCTCTGGGTACCTTGTTTCTGTAACATCAGGTTCTGGGAAATTCTGTTTTCACTGATTGACACAAAGACTGCATTGGAGAGCGCGGAGCCCTTATCCCGTTTAAATCCCTCAAGACCTCTATACGGCCCAAGACGGTACTAAAGCTCTCAACCGCCTTGAAGCCCCTTCGCAACACCCTCCCCAAGTTCTCCAAAGTTGTTTAAACTCAAAAAGCCCTTGTAGCGTCCCTTATGAAAACCCTTGTAAAGCCCTTTAATTGGTCTAAAACCTTAAACCCTAAACCCTACAACCTTTTTAAAGCCCTTTAACCTGGTCTAAAAATCATTCAACCTTCTAAAATACTGCGAGTCCTGCGTCCGGAGGAGCGCAGCTTGCGCCTGGCGATGTTTGAGAGCCTCGAGTTGCGCATGAAGAAGGCCGGGGATTTGAAGGGTTTAGGGTTTAAGGTTTAGGATTTAGGGTTTAGGGTTTGGGGGTTTAGGGTTTGAGGGTTTAGGGCTTAGGGGTTTAGGGTTTAGGGTTAAGGGTTTATGGTTGGGGGTTACGTCAGGTTTGGAGGGCTTTGGAGGGTTTGAGGCCTATTTGCAGGGCTTTGATTTTAGCGCTACAGGGTTTTGAGAATGTGCAGCGGGGCTGCTTTGGGACATCAGTGTGTAATTCGGAATGTCGGCATAGGTTTCAGGATTATACGGTTTTAGGGTCAATGGCTCCGGAGATGTGCAGCTTTGGGCCTCAGGGTGCAGGGGTTTTGTGGGTTTTTGTGGGGGTTTCGGGTTGTCATGATGGCAGGGTAGTAGGTTTGAGATTTGTGCACGAATTTCATACTAGTTGCCGACAGGGGGCCTCAATGCAAGTTATGTACAGTCAAAAAATAGTTCCATCCGTATTATACATACAGACGCATTACTTGGGAAAACCTTGTTCGCATGTCAGAAACCCATGTTGAGTTTCGGGCCTTCACTTCTTTGCTCTGTGAAGACACGTACAACGAGCGTAGCACAGCTGGACCCAAAGCGGGGTTTCGGATAAAAGTTTCCCAGCAGCAGTCAACATGGTACAGTAACCCACTAATATAGATAAAAGGTCCTGTGTAAATTGAACCCTACATTAATATGAACCTACCAGAACCTACTGTTTTGTAGGTCCCTCTAAAACCATCATAGGGGTTCCTAGAAAACTTTGTTAGGCTAAACCGTAAACCCTAAACCCCGAAAGCCTAAAGCCTAAACCCTAAACCCCATTGAGACATAAGTCTTGACACAAAGCCTGAAAAAGTCAAAACCAACCAACCTGGAACTCTGATAGCAACCTTGTCGAACCCTATACAGCCGTGAGGTATCATATCTATAGGGTAACATGCCCCTTTATTCTAATCCTACCATTCACGTTGCGGTTCGGGGTTCAGGGTTTACGGTGGTTTAGGGTTTCCCTAAACCCTATAAGCTTTAAACCCCAACCCTAAACCCTTCACGCCAAATTGCAGAGCCCTAAACCCCAAAAGCACCAAACTCTAAAACTTATAATCCCTATAGACACTGAACCACGGCAGGCGCGAGCGGACCTCGAGACCGAGACGCGAGAGCGCGCGGCAACGGAGACTGAGGCTTTAGAGCGGAAGCTGTCCGGTTTTGGGGTGTCCTTTTGTCCTTGGTAGTGTTACGGAGACCCCCTTAAAGGGGACCCTTCTTAACCCTACTTGTGGATCTCTTGAAAGGCACCTTATTGAGAGGGTCTATATCTTCAAGGGTCCCAGTAACCCTAACCCCTATTTTGGGGTTTTGGGCTGGGGTTTGGGGGTTTGGGTTTAAGGATGGTTTCGGTTTAGCCTTAAGGACCAAAAGACCCTTGAGAGTAAGGGCCCTATACCCCTACACCATGCATCCCGAAATGGTATATACATATAAAAGATAATATGTACATACCTTAACCCCTTTTAGGCTTCATTTCGTCTTTAAGGAGGGGTTTAAGGCTCATGGTTTTCTTTTGAAAAAGGTCTTTTACGGGGTATTCCGTTTGTGGAGGATCCGGTGTCTGAGCCGTGCCCAAAGCATCTAGAGCCCATGAGTCTCTCTGATGATTTAAAGGCTAGGGTTTGAGGTGAAGTTTGGCCTCGTAAACCTCACAGACCAAAGTACCCAATAGTGGGATGCATGAGTTTGGGATAGTGTCAGTGACTACAATGCAGGTTAATATTTCGGGGGTGAAATGACCCCTAAACCCCAAACCCCTAAACCCTAACAACTAAACCCCTAAACCCTAAAACTCTAAACCCTAAACCCTAAACCCTAAAACCCTAAAACCCTAAAGCCCTAAAACCCTAAACCCTAAACCCCTAAACCCCTAAGCCCCTAAACCCTAACGACTAAACCCCGAAACCCTAAACCCCTAAACCCAAAAACCCTGAAACCCTAAACAACCCTAAACCCTAAACCTCTAAATCCCTAAACCCTAAAACCTTAAAACCCTAAACCCAAACCCCCAAACCATAAATCCCTAAACCCTAACAACTAAACCCCTAAACCCTAAATCTCGAAACCCCTAAACCCTAAAACCCTAAACCCCGAATTAGGGGTTTAGGGTTTAGGGGTTTAGGGTTTAGGGTTTTCGGGTTTAGGAGACGAACACACAAGGTTTCTCGCAGGTCATGCAATTTCACGCGCACATGCGTCGATAGGAAACCCCCCAGCAGATGACCTCTGCAAGGGCCTAGTCCTGTAACATCACACCCAAACACCTAAAGGCTTCGGATTAGGTTATTGCATCCTAAGCCTCGAACCACACAATTACCCCAGGTGGCGCAGAAGATCAAAGCTCTTAATGAGGAGCTCATCACGAGGCATGGCCATCCTGTTACAGGGTTTAGGGTTTAGGGTTTAGGGGAGTTCTGTGCGCAGAAGCATTCCCCAAGAGCCCGACACACGATGGACCCCATGCCCGAAAAAGGTTTCCTTATGACACCTCATAAGAGGTTTCGTGAAAGCCCCTGAGGCTGGGGTTAAGAGAAGGAAAGAACACGATTCAGGATCCAACGTCCCCCACGAATTTCGTATTTGGGTTTCGAATGGCACGAACTGTAGGCCGGTGGTTTGGGAATAAATAACTACTAGGGTTTAGGGTTTAGGGTTTGGGGTTTAGGGTTTAGGGGTTTAGGGGTTTAGGGTTTAGGGTACTCGGACCAGTCGGGTTCAGGTGGAAGAGATCATGGTGACAGTTGGCGCACGTTGGTTGCTTAGGGTTCCAGGGCTCACTTCAATGCCTTAGTCGTCGTATATGGCATACTTGGACTTGAAATAACCCAGGCTATATATATATATATATATATGTTATATGTTTCCTCAGAGCCTGAACCCACCAAAGCTCCAAACTGAAAACTCGCACCATCCCTTTCTCTAACACCCATGTTCTCAGCCCAAAGACGATGCTAGAAGGTGAGGCTTTTGGTGCGATTCTGAGCCACAAGGTAGTCACTATGTTTGCTGTGTGACTCATATCATACCGGCGCCTACATCCTAAACCTAAACTACACCCGATGTTCTTGACGCACAAACAAGCTCAACAGCCTTGATGACTGTAAACCCTTAACCCTGCCATAAGCTCTTTGAATCCTTGCAATTCGCCTTAAAGGCTTTGAGTATGAGCCACTCGAAAGCATTCAATCTGGAAGGCCGCAGGTCTAGACAAGTAATATAGGGGCCTCAATAATTCCCTATACTATTTTGGGGTGGTTCCTTATTATATCTATAGTACAAAGGGTCCCAAAACCTTATTCTACTTATTAAGGCCTCTATATTGGTTCCTTATTATATTTATAGTATAAAGGGTCCGAAAACCCTATTCTATTTATTAAGGCCTCTATATTTGTCCCTAAAAAACAAAACCCTAAACCCTAAACGCCATGCGCGGATGCAGAAATGGCGGTCTGCCGACCGAGCGGCCCTCTTGGACTATGGATCCGTGGAAGTTTGGTTTCTGGGAGATGGCGACCCGACGACACGGTTTAGGGTTTAGGGTTTAGGGTTAGGGTTTAACCGGGAAGTGTAGAACCCGTCTAAATGCACTCGCTCGGCCCTGCTACGGCTGCTGTTCTAACCTATGACAGGAGCTGTGGAGTCCTCATCCGTGGCTTCACAGCCTGGACTGCTGTCTGTCAGTCCGGTGTGGAGGGATTTTGGGTTTAGGGTGTGACGCAGGGCTTCATCTCTGATCACACGGACAAGGATGAACTCGGGAGAACGGTAGTTTTTGAAGCGTCTGGGATGTTGCTAGGTGTTGTGGCCGGCCCTCACCTCAAACCATCAAGTTCCCATAATATAGATCGAAAAGTTTTAAAGATTAAAGCCTGTAGCCTTGTACCTAAAACCCTTGAATGCCTAAGTACGCCGTATACAGGCTGAAAACCTTTAAGTCCGTGCCCTTACTCCTAGGCCCTCTGATCGTACACCCAGCACCCTAAACCCCCTAAATCCCAACCCTTGATTCCCAACGTAATCCCTCAACTCCCCAGCCATAGACCCAAGACCCTTGACCCTAGACCCTAGAATCCGAAATCCTACAAGCAATTCCTGAATTCACCCTACCCCTAAGGCTCCAAGTAGTCCTTGTTTATGGTGTCGGTTGCCTCAAAAGGACTCACAAAGTCCTCTACTGACAGCTGTACTAGGGAGCATTGGGAGTCTCAGGGTAAGCCCCAAACATCAAAGAGCCTTAGCCCGGAAACCCTAAACCCCCAAACCTATAAGCCTAAACCCCAAAGCCCTAAACCCAAAACCTTGAAACCCTAAACCCTACAAACCCTAAACCTTACACCCTAAATTGCACCCTAAACTCAAACCTTAAGCCCTAAACCTTGAAGCCCTGACCTTGAACCGTAAAAACCCAAACCTGAAACCCTAAACCCAAACCTTAAGCCCTAAGCCCAAAGCTCCAAACCTTAACTAAGCTCTATAAGCCCTAACAAACCCCAACCTAAACCCTGAACCCTAAACCCTAAACTCCCAAACCTATTAAGCCCTGAGCTCTTCATAGGTCCCCCCTAAGCTCTATAAAGTTTAGGGTTTAGGGTTTAGGGTTTAGGGTTTAGGGTTTAGGGTTTAGGGTTTAGGGCCTCTAAGCCCTAAGCTCCTCACAGGTCCCGTGAGCAGCAAGCTGCCGACTTGCAACACCGACGCCTCCGCGAGGACCTAAAAGTCTCTTTGGAGGAGCTCTTGCTCGGCTGGGTTTTGTGAATTTCCCGGACCTTCCAACATCCCTTACTTAAGGAATACATATACATATATATCTTTATATATATATACACACACACTTTAAATTGTAATAGGACCGCTTAGGGTTTGGAGCTTTACATTTTTAGGGATCAGGGTGGGGTTTGGGGGTTGGGGTTTTCGCCTTGGGGTGGGGTTTACAATAGCTCGAAGGTGGTTTCTACGTATGTGTATGTATGTATATATATATATATACATAGATAACAGGTGTTCTAGGGCCACAAATGATTGGTATACATTGTGTGGGTACATGGATTCTGACGGCTTGGGTGGGGGGGCTACCTACGGTTTATGTGGGCTGTCCGGGGTGTAGAAATCCAATATTTAGAGTTCCCTCTTGTGGTTGTATATATATATATATATAGAGATTGCACGGTTTTGTCGGTTGTAGTGGTTTTTAGCAGCGATACCAAGAGGCTTTAATCAAGGACGACGCTTCAAGTCAGAGTACGTACTGCATAATTCTCAGCTTTTCATTATTCCCTAAGGCTCTAAGGACTCGCATTTTAAGGCTTTTGGGCCCAAAGACCATACTATATAAGGCTTCTGGGTTATTTCGAGCCTTAGGGATTAAGTATTGCCCGAACTCGTTTTTCTTACCGGCCAAGAGACCAAGGACACATCCACAGACCTCTAAAGTCGTGAATCAAGAGCCCTTTGGTGAGGAACGCTGTCGTGATCTCAGGAGCCGTCGTTGTGATTGTGTAACCATTCTGGGATCTACAAACCCCAAACCCAAACAAAGCCCTTTTCAAGCACTTGTGAAGCCCGAGGCCACCCGTAAAGTTAATCACATTCTAGCTTCGTGGCCTCTGCAAAACCCCAAGCCCCCTAACACAGGGATCGGATTACTTGTTGTTCGTGGCGCGGCCTATGCAAAAACGCTAAACCCTAAACCGTACGCAAAAATCTGTAGTTACGGTTTAGGGTTTAGGGTTTAGGGTTTAGGGATACACCCCTGCAGGATCCATTTTCAATTGCTCAGGCTCGGGCTCCTACTCATCCCCTTAACTCGTAAAGGCTAAGCCACTAAATCACAAAATCCCCTAAACCTCCCACCCTAAACCCCCAAAACCCCTTCTAAGTAATCACCAGTGATATTTTGGGGTTCCTTACTATAATGATAGTAACATGGGCCCCAAAAACCTATTAATTCTAATTGTCAAGGCCCCTACATTCCACCCTGAACTCCAAACCCTACGCTCCAAGCCTCTGAAACCCTAAACCCTATTAAGCCCTAAACCCAAAACCCCTAAACCCCTAAACCCTAAACCCCTAAACCCCCTAAACCCCAAACCCCCTAAACCCCTAAACCCCCTAAACCCTGAACTCGAAGCCTCGGGCTCTCACGCCTTCCACGAGGACCTGGATGCGCTGAAGCAGACTGTTTGCCAGGAGATGACCGAGCGCCGGGAGGGAGAGGTCCCTTGCTTTTACGGTTTAGGGGGGTTTTGGGGTTTGGGGTTTAGGGTTTAGGGTTTAGGGTTTAGGGGGGTTTTTGGGGTTCAGGGTTTCGGTTTTAGGGTTTAGGGTTTAGGGTTGAGGTCCCCTGCCTTTAAACTTTTGGTGGAGCTGTAAAAGTAGGGGCTGGGTTTAGGGTAGTTTAGGGTTTAGGGCCCTAAAAAAATGTCTACGTTATTTTTTGGGGGGTTCCTGATTGTAGTTATAGTATAATATACCCCGAAACCCTATTCTAAGTATTGAGGCCTCTATATTAGGGTTTTGGGTGAGGGGGCAGAGAGAATCCTATGCTATTTTTTTTTTTTTGGGGGGGGGAGGGTTCCTGATTATAGTTATAGTAGAAAAAACCCCGAAACCCTGCTCTCATCATTAAGGCCCTATATAAGGGTTGTGGGTGAGGGGGCAGGAGAGATGCCAAAACTCTTCAACAAAGCAAGATACCCTCGATTGCAGAGGGGTCTGGCATACGGTTTTAGGCCCATTCCGTAATTCTCGCGTGCTGATGCGGCAATGTGCCAGGGGTCTGCGAACGACATCTTCGAGAGTAATATGTGCCTGTGAGTGCATGCGCATGCTGGGGCCGGAACCTAAAATCCTCAAAGGCACATGTAGGAGCCTAAATACCAGTACTATTTTGAGGGTTTCTCATTCTCATCATAGCATAATGGGCCCCAGGACCCTATTCTAATTGTTAAGGCCCCTATGTTTCACTTCACCCCCCAGGTCTGCAAGGCTTAAGTAGGGGATGGGGGTTCAGGCTTTTAGGGTTTACAGTAGAAGCCCAAAAGTGGGAAATCCCAAGAGCCTCAATCCGTAAAAGTCACGTATAGGGACTCCCACCACTAATCGTCCTTCATTCCGGTTTCCAACTTTTTGGGGTTTACTATGGGGTTGGGGGAGGGTGCAAGATTTGCAAACTCAGTGGAGCCTTAACCCTTCCCTCCCTGCTTGTTTCCGGAGCTTTGACAAAAAAGAGCCCCGTGACTCTCGAATTTAAGAAGTATGCCTACCACTACATACTCGGAGAGCTTCGTTCTATGAGTTCAGGTCTAATCCTTAATTAATGGATGCTTGGCCGGCTGTCGGGGAAGCTCGCGTATGTACCAGCTGCCTTGCTCCGAAACCACTTAGCTAAGCTCCCTACTGGTTCCTGGACCCTCTTCATCAACCCTAAACCCTAAACCCTTCTTTGAGCTTTCCGGAACATGGGTTTAGGGTTTATAAGGTTTCGGGATCGACGGATCCAGGGTTTAGGGTTGAGGGTCTCCGGAGCACTGATACGTGATCTTCTGAACCCTAAACCCTAAACCCTAAACCCTAAACCCTAAACCCTAAACCCTAAACCCCTAAACCCTAAAGCCCCTGGGCCCCTAAATCCTCAGCCCTAACCCGAAACCCTAAACCGCCTAAACCTCTAGACCCCTTAATCCTAAACCTCCACAAACCTTTCGAAACCTGCCAGGAAACTCTCAAACCCTAAACCCTAAACCCCTAGACCCCTTAATCCTAAACCTCCACAAACCTTTCGGAACTTGCCAGGAAACTCTCAGCCAGATCATGCGCGAAGTGCGTGAGAGCGTGCTCAAGGACCAGATGAAGCGGGTCCTTTTGTTTCGGCCTTCGTCCTTTGCTGTTGGTGTTTAGTATTCAGGAGTCAGATTCTCGGTTTAGGGTTCAGGGATGTTGAGGGTTTAGGGTAATTTGTGTTTAGTATTCATGATTCAGATTCTCGGATGCAGATTTTAGGATCCCATTAAACCCATCAATCATCCATGCAGGTAGATTGTGCCGGATCCTTCAGCCCAGAAAAAGCGAAGTACATGGGAATTTCAGAAAATTAGGGGTACCTTATTTGGGGTCCTTATAATAGGGATCCTATTCTTTAGGGTACTATATTAGGGTCCCCTATTTTCGGAAACCCCCAAGTACATGGGAAGAGAACCATGGCCACAGTCCTGAAGTCTCAGAGGACATGCATCAACAACATATGAGACTTTCAGAAAATAGAGGACCCTAATATAGTACCCTAAATAGCAGGATCCTTAATATAAGGACACCAAAATAAGGTACCCCAAATTTTCGGAAACTCCCATATGTGTTGTGCCGTCAAGATCTTCCCATAGAGTATTGAGATTGGATGCTGCCCCTAAACCCTAAGCCCCAAAGCCCTTAACCCTAAATCATAGTATCCTTGCAGTCCAATCAAGCAGGATCATGCGATAATTTGCTCCAGACCCGATGACAAGTATCAAGCCTCCGGTTATACGTGGGGTTCAACTTAAGCCCAACCGCCCTGAACCCCAAACCCTAAGCCCTAAACCCTAAACCTAAACCCAGCAGCCAAGTTTGAGGACGTCGGCATAGTTGAAAGGTAGGCATTTCCCTCCAGGAGGTTCCAGTGCTAGAAGAAGTGGAACCCTTTGCCACGGGAACTCCCTAAAACTTTTTAATCTATCCTTCATCATCAGGATAGGGTTTTGGGGCATATTATACTATACTTATAAAATAAGATGGAACCCCCAAAACCCTATTCTAATTATTAAGGCCCCTGAGTTAGGGCTCAGGGCTTATGGCTGCTGTTCCGACATGCCATGGCTGGATTGTTATCGTAATGTAGATCCGGGGGGGTTGCTTGTTATTAGGGGTCGAAAAAAGCTTATACTTATAGTCACCCCTTTGACCCTGACCAAATTCGAAACCCTCTGAAGCCTTAACCTTCCCGAACCTTGACTAAACACCCTTGTAAAGTCTATGACATTCAGATAAATTGAGCAGTTGCTGTAGAGGCCGTGCCAAAGCCAACTTATCCCAAACAGACTTGCGCGACTCAACAAAAACAGAAGCAGCACACGCAAAGATTCTCAAGCCAAAAACCGTCTGTCTCCGAATCCTTTTTATGATTGGAAGGAGACGCAGAGCAGGACAAACTCAGAGGAGGTGCGGGGGTTGACATGGGAATATGTGGCCGCTTCAGTCCAATCAGCCGAAAGTAGGTCCTATTGTTGGACTTTCCCAGGTAAGGATTTGTTGGGCTCAGCGGTAGTTCGGGTGTCTTGAGTTCTGAGTCAGGCCCAAAACCTTGCTTTAGCACTCCCACCCAAGCTCACTTGCAGCTTAATGATGCAGGGGAGTTACAAGTACAGTAGCCCCATACCTTCCCAAATCCCTCATTAACCTTAAATCATGTTAGGGGTCCCTATTATAATTCAAGCTTAATTAAGGGATTTTGGAAGGTCGGGGCATTGAGCTGCCCCATGCATCCTAGGACTTGCTTATCAGGTAGCTGGGGTTAGGGTCTAGGGTTTAGGGTTTGGGCTTAGGGTTTAAGATTTAGCCCGACTACTATTGGGCTGGTCAGAATCTTATACTTATAGTCTCCATCGTAGTTCCTTTCTTTGG